GACATGAGTTTCTGACTGTCGCTAGCTGAAGCTTGGTTGCTAGGTTACTAGCTGGGTGTTCTCCAATAAGGGGCCGGGGGAAACAAAGTTAGTGATTACTGGTTCCATGTTGATTTATTTCAATACAGATTGTTGGGGGGGGGAACTGAAAGGCTCTTACCATACTGGTTACTTTGCAGCCCGGACATTTCCCACAAAACACATTTAGACGCGATCTCAACACAGAAGTACCTTTCAAATCCCATCATTTTTAAGACCTTCTAAATCATATTTAAGACCTTTCTTATTTTTTTGGTCATATTTAAGACCTTTTTAAGGCCTTAAATTCAGATTATCAAATTTAAGACTTTTTAAGACTTTTTAAGACCCCGCGGGAACCCTGCTAATTTGAAGACCATTGCCCCAAGGGGATTTTCCTAAGAACACTGACTCAAGATATCTCCAACAAGCCCTACGGAGGATGACTCACCAGAGATGTAGTATCCAGGAAGACACATGAAGACTTACTCAAGACAAGGTAACTAAGACGACCACCTGTAAAACAGCTAACAAGAAGACCTACCCAAGACCTCTAACCAAGGAAGACTTAACTCTTACCCGAATTGAAGACAATTGCCCCAAGAACACCGACCCAAGACAACGTTGCCAAGACAGTCTACACAGGACTCACAGGTATTTAAGAGCTCGTCTGCAAGATGACCTCCACACCAAATCTTACTCAAGGCAACGTAACCAAGACCATTGTCTATATCCTCAATTCCAGAAACCTTCCTTAGACTTCCTACCAAAGACCATAAACCCAGGAAGACTTCACTTCCATCGCCCCAAAGTCATTTCCCTAAGAACACTGACTCAAGACCTCAACACTCTCCAACAAGACCTACGGAGGATGACTAACCAGAGATGTTGTACCCAGGAAGACTACTCGGTATTCAGGACAACTTCCGCAAGAAGACAAGTAAACTAAGACAATCACCCGTAAAACAGCTAACTACAGATCACTTCCATAAGGTACTAAACCAGGAAGACCTACCAAAGACCTCTTAGAAGACTTAACTCTTACCTGAATTGAAGACAATTACCCCCAGGTGATTTTCCCAAGACAACGTTGCCAAGACAGTCTACACAGGACTCACTGGTATTTAAGAGCTCGTCTGCAAGATGACCTCCACACCAAATCTTAAGAAAGGCAACGTAACCAAGACCATCATCTGTAAAACAACGAACTCCAGAAACCTTCCTTAGACCTCCTACCAAAGACCATAAACCCAGGTCTGTACTGGTAACTGTACTAAAGACCATCGCCCCAAGATGAACACTGACTCAAGATATCTCCAACTAGACCTACGGAAGATGACCAAAGATGTAGTACCCAGGAAGACTGACGGCATTCAAGACAAAATACTTACAAAGCCTTCCCTAGGTCCCACTCATTCACCGTAATCTGACCCAGACAACTACACCAAGACCAGCCAAAGACCAATATACCCCGGTAGACCTTCAAGACCACCTCCGAGAGATTACTTCCATAAGAGGAGCCAAGAAGTTTTGCTTGAGACCAACGAAGCCTTCACAATGTAGGGAAGAAAACAGACACCAAGCAACTCAACCCAAAGCTCTACACAAGAGATGCTACTGTGTCCACAATACAGACTGAACACTGAGAGGATACTTTCTGTAGTTCAGCTTTAATCAGGAGTCACCATGAAGGACACATTTGAGGAATCAACATGTAGTAAAAACTCACATCCAGGATATAACACTTCTGTTGATGTGAAAAGTACAAAGGAGTCCTCTTCCTCACCTTCTTCATCATCTTGTTCTGCTTGTGGAAGAACTCCACCTTGATGTCTCCGCAGACAGGAAGTGGCTGAGGGAACTCGAACAGCATGAGCTTGTCTTCCCGCCGGGTGTTGGAGGGGTTGGAGGTGTGGATCTTCACCTTCAGCTGGTACACCACGAACTGAGGGTCTGCAGCACAAACACTCGTTAGATCAGGGTCTCTGATCTCTCTGAGTCTACAAACACTCGTTAGGGTTAGGGTCTCTGATCTCTGAGTCTACAAACACTCATTAGGGTTAGGGTCTCTGATCTCTGTGAGTCTACAAACACTCATTAGGGTTAGGGTCTCTGATCTCTGTGTCTACAAACACTCATTAGATCAGGGTCTCTAATCTCTGAGTCTACAAACACTCGTTAGATCAGGGTCTCTGATCTCTGAGTCTACAAACACTCATTAGGGTTAGGGTCTCTGATCTCTGAGTCTACAAACACTCGTTAGATCAGGGTCTCTTACACACACTCACAAAGATCTACTTTCTTGGATGTACTGTGTCTCCTCTGAGGGGGGGGGTACTCACTGCAGGTTCCCCCGGTGAACATGGGGATGGTCTCAAACAGCATCTTGTGGAAGAGCAGAGCGACGGGTCTGTAGAGCAGCTGGTTCCTCAGCAGGAAGCTGTAGTAGATGACGTAGCGCCGCTGACTGGGGATGGTCACGCCCTGGACACACAGGAAGGGTTGGAGCTTATCAGAATAAAGGATTACAAAGCAAGGGGGGCTTTTATCTCAGTTTTCTGCAGCTCTCTTCCCCCCCAGTTCAGAAACCATCTTAGATTCCCAGTCCTTCTGTTGTCTCTTATCTCTTTACCTTCTTGTCTCGGGTGCGCACCTCCCCGTAGAAGTCGAGTGCCTCCTGCGCCTCGCTGAACTTCCCTCGGTGCAGCAGGTAGGCACAGATCATGACCCCGGTGCGACCCTTTCCGGCCTTGCAGTGGATGGCGGCGACGTGCTGCTCGTCCTCGCTCAGCCACTGGTCCAGGTCCTCGCAGAAGGGCCTGATCAGCTCCAGCTGGGGCGGGTTGTGGTCCTCGAACGGGTACTGGGCCACTGGAACATTCAGATTAAAGCCAGCGGGACATACAGAGACTTTAGAGGAAGAACTGTTTGGGCTTCATGACGTAGAGCAGGGGGGTCCAAACTGTTTTCACAGAGGGCTACATTCAGAACAATATACGAAGGTCTGGGCCGCTCACTAGAGGTTCATCGCCTCATAGGTTCAGTTATAAGTTAGCTAAATCAATCAGAGGAGGTCAATGAGTCTTGATACTTGAATATGCTGTAAGAAACAAACAGCTCTCCAGAGGGTTCACTTTATTCTGTGAGCAGCTCATTCCTTCAAACAGGAGCTTCAGATTGATGATGATGATGAGGGAATATGAAGGTTTATTTCAGGTTGATATGTGAATAAGTTATTGGGCTTTTTTCTTATCAACTTAGATTTGTTAGAACATGTTTTTAACTTTAAATGACTGAATGTATTTGAAAAGTGGGCTCTTATGAACACATGAATACTGTGTAATATATATATTTAAGAAGTACAATTTAAGACAAGCAGAAGTTTATTTTACTTAAGTCATTATACTTTTATAATTCGCTGAGTGAGGGCCGTAGTTTGGACCCCCCTGATTTAGAGAAAGAATGCCAACTGTTTGGGCTTCATGAGAGGCTGCACACATATTCTCGATGCTATGGTAAGTAAAGAAGCTCAAAGAGAGGACGTTTCTGATTCAGCAAATCATCTATCTCACTTTATACCAAAGAAAAGACACATTTAAAAAAGAGAAACTCAATATCTTATACTCCAAACCATTAGCATAGAAAGCAATGTGTAGTCTCACCTCGACAGTTGAACTTTGACGTGTCGTAGTGTCGCTCCGCACACCTGAGGAAACAAGGCGTTAATACAGAGCTCTCTCAGTTAGTAACCTGGGAGATGGAGTTCAGCTGATGCCTGAATATATATATGAATCTACAGGAAGGAGACTCCTGAACAGAAGCTAACCGCTAACAGCTAGCATCTTTCATTTCATCTGCACACATCAAATCCAGATCAATAAGAAAAGAGACCCAACCCGATACTTAAGGACAGAAATAAAGGTTTTATTTACAATAAAAGGCAAAAAGGAAATCAAGAAAACACAATTTAGAAAAATATAACAAAAACATTTTTGAGTAGAAAACAAAAATATGAAAAGAATATAAATAGTTCTTAATAACTACTTATGAAACACAGAGGTGTGAGTGTACTCACAGGTTGTAGATCTTGTAGTGATTCTTGTGCTTCAGGTCTAAGAACCTGAGGGAGAAACGCCTCGTTAACGTCTCTGTATTTAACGATCAATAAGACGATCAATAAGACGATCAATAAGACGTAGTTTCTGTATTTAACGATCAATAAGACGATCAGTAAGACATAGTTTCTATATTTAACGATCAATAAGACAATCAGTAAGACATAGTTTCTATATTTAACGATCAATAAGACGATCAGTAAGACATAGTTTCTATATTTAACGATCAATAAGACGATCAGTAAGACATAGTTTCTATATTTAACGATCAATAAGATGATCAATAAGACATAGTTTCTATATTTAACGATCAATAAGACGATCAGTAAGACATAGTTTCTGTATCGATGGATCAGTATATTGATGGATCAGTACATTGATGGATCAGTATATTGATGGATCAGTATATTGATGGATCAGTATATTGATGGATCAGTATATCGATGGATCAGTATATTGATGGATCAGTATATTGATGGATCAGTACATTGATGGATCAGTATATTGATGGATCAGTATATTGATGGATCAGTACATTGATGGATCAGTACATTGATGGATCAGTACATTGATGGATCAGTACATTGATGGATCAGTACATTGATGGATCAGTATATCGATGGATCAGTACATTGATGGATCAGTACATTGATGGATCAGTATATCGATGGATCAGTACATTGATGGATCAGTATATTGATGGATCAGTATATTGATGGATCAGTACATTGATGGATCAGTACATTGATGGATCAGTACATTGATGGATCAGTATATCGATGGATCAGTACATTGATGGATCAGTACATTGATGGATCAGTATATCGATGGATCAGTACATTGATGGATCAGTATATTGATGGATCAGTATATTGATGGATCAGTACATTGATGGATCAGTACATTGATGGATCAGTATATTGATCAGCTGACTCACCGCACCACGTCGTCGATGTTGTTCCGGTAGACGCCCTCCAGGCGGTCCGCGGGGAAACCCATGGCGATGATGTTCGGGTAAATATCTGATGCTGAGTCAGGGAGCCATTACAACTACATTTCCCACAATGCAACAGTGAGAGCTTAAACACATCATAAAGCATGAAGAACAGATTCTTTAAAAGATCCAACTTTTACATTTTAAATACCATTTTTTATCATTGATACGTTTTATTTTGTTAAAAAATCCAAGATAAGGAATATATATATATTTCTATTATATATGTTTATTATCTTGCATTTCCTAACTTATTGTTGTTGTTGTTGTGACAGTTTAGTTTGAATATCAAATCCAACATAATCATATTATTATTAGTATTTTTATATAATTATTAACAGAGAGTTATTGACGGGTAATCAATCAAAGATGATTTGTTTATTATTATCATACAGGGCTGATGCAACACCACTGTTAGCTTAGCATGTTAGCATCTGACACTTCAAGCACTGTACTTACGTACATTTTGAGGTACTTGTAGTATTTCCATTGTATGCTACTGTGTACTTCTACTCCACTACAGTTCAGAGGTACATGGTGTACTTCTACTCCTCTACAGTTCAGAGGTACATGGTGTACTTCTACTCCTCTACAGTTCAGAGGTACATGGTGTACTTCTACTCCTCTACAGTTCAGAGGTACATGGTGTACTTCTACTCCTCTACAGTTCAGAGGTACATGGTGTACTTCTACTCCTCTACAGTTCAGAGGTACATGGTGTACTTCTACTCCACTACAGTTCAGAGGTACATGGTGTACTTCTACTCCACTACAGTTCAGAGGTACATGTGTACTTCTACTCCACTACAGTTCAGAGGTACATGGTGTACTTCTACTCCTCTACAGTTCAGAGGTACATGGTGTACTTCTACTCCTCTACAGTTCAGAGGTACATGGTGTACTTCTACTCCACTACAGTTCAGAGGTACATGGTGTACTTCTACTCCTCTACAGTTCAGAGGTACATGGTGTACTTCTCCTCCACTACATGTATTAATACCTTTAGTTACTTCACAGATGTGGATGAATGATGTGAAATATAACCAAGTGTTAAATCAGACTTTAGTTCCACCTGGAGTAAATCCACAAGCTACCCTGCAGTATACAAAGTCATTCAAACTAGCTGCACCTTTACCAGCTTTGAGAACACTTTCATGATCAATCATTATAAAACATATCATATATATTATTCTGAAATGGACCAATCTGCACAACGACTACTTTTACTGTACTTTCACTATATTTTGATGAGAATACTTTTCTACTTTTACTTGAGGAACATTTTGAATGCAGGACTTTTACTGTAACAGAGTATTCCTACACTCTGGTACTTCTACTTTTACTCAAGTACAAGACCTGAAGTACTTCTACTTTTACTCAAGTACAAGATCTGAGTACTTACTACTTTTACTCAAGTACAAGATCTGAGTACTTCTACTTTTACTCAAGTACAAGATCTGAGTACTTCTACTTTTACTCAAGTACAAGATCTGAGTACTTCTACTTTTACTCAAGTACAAGATCTGAGTACTTCTACTTTTACTCAAGTACAAGACTGAGTACTTCTACTTTACTCAAGTACAAGATCTGAGTACTTCTACTTTTACTCAAGTACAATCTGAGTACTTCTACTTTTACTCAAGTACAAGACTGAGTACTTCTACTTTTACTCAATACAAGATCTGAGTACTTCTACTTTTACTCAAGTACAAGATCTGAGTACTTCTACTTTTACTCAAGTACAAGATCTGAGTACTTCTACTTTTACTCAAGTACAAGATCTGAGTACTTCTACTTTTACTCAAACAAGATCTGAGTACTTCTACTTTTACTCAAGTACAAGATCTGAGTACTTCTACTTTTACTCAAGTACAACACCTGAGTACTTCTACTTTTACTGAAGTACAAGATCTGAGTACTTCTACTTTTACTGAAGTACCAGATCTGAATACTTCTACTTTTACTGAAGTACAACACCTGAGTACTTCTACTTTTACTCAAGTACAAGATCTGAGTACTTCTACTTTTACTCGAGTACAAGATCTGAGTACTTCTACTTTTACTCAAGAACAAGATCTGAGTACTTCTACTTTTACTCAAGTACAAGATCTGAGTACTTCTACTTTTACTCAAGTACAACACCTGAGTACTTCTACTTTTACTCAAGTACAAGATCTGAGTACTTCTACTTTTACTGAAGTACAAGATCTGAGTACTTCTACTTTTACTCTAGTACAAGATTTGAGTACTTCTACTGTTACTCAAGTACAAGATCTGAGTACTTCTACTTTTACTCAAGTACAAGATCTGAGTACTTCTACTTTTACTCTAGTACAAGATTTGAGTACTTCTACTGTTACTCAAGTACAAGATCTGAGTACTTCTACTTTTACTCAAGTACAACACCTGAGTACTTCTACTTTTACTCAAGTACAAGATCTGAGTACTTCTACTTTTACTGAAGTACAAGATCTGAGTACTTCTACTTTTACTCAAGTACAACACCTGAGTACTTCTACTTTTACTCAAGTACAAGACCTGAGTACTTCTACTGTTACTCAAGTACAAGATCTGAGTACTTCTACTTTTACTCAAGAACAAGATCTGAGTACTTCTACTTTTACTGAAGTACAAGATCTGAGTACTTCTACTTTTACTCAAGAACAAGATCAGAGTACTTCTACTTTTACTCTAGTACAAGAGCTGAGTACTTCTACTTTCACTCAAGTACAAGATCTGAGTACTTCTACTTTTACTCAAGAACAAGATCTGAGTACTTCTACTTTTACTCAAGTACAAGATCTGAGTACTTCTACTTTTACTCAAGTACAAGATCAGAGTACTTCTACTTTTACTCAAGTACAAGATCTGAGTACTTCTACTTTTACTCAAGTACAAGATCAGAGTACTTCTACTTTTACTACAAGATCTGAGTAGTTCTACTTTTACTCAAGTACAAGAACTGAGTACTTCTACTTTGACTCAAGTACTAGATCTGAGTACAGATGCAGATGTGGTCAGATGCAGTCACACACAGGGGTTTACAGTGAGCACAGACGTAGTATTTGTAAGTATTGCTGGTTGACATACAGCTCGTTACAGTGAGCACAGAGAGCGCTCCATATGAAGGAAGAAGCTTGACAGATAGAAGAAGTGAGATGAGAGCATCCTCGAGGCGAGACAGCCGGTGATGAAGGCGGACGTTTATATTGTTATTTACAGATGTTTCAGGTGAGTGTGTTGCTGTTGTTGATATTTAGATGCTCTGCTGTCCTACCTGTCCATCACAGTGAGGCACCCTGCCATCCCATAATAACATCTGCATTAAACCACTGTGTGTTAATGCAGATGTGCACAGTGTACAAATATACATATATATATATAGTGTTTATAGCTGTAGCTGTAGTACCTGTACTGATAATACCGTGTCTCCTGCAGCCCATAATAACCTCCCTGTTAACCCTCTATATGTGAATGCAGCTACACACACTATATATATATAAATAGTTATATAGTTGTGTATGTATATATATATATATATATATATATATATATATATATATATATATAGTGTGTGTAGCTGTACTCTGATAACACCGTGTCTCCTGCAGCCCCTAACACCCTCTACATTAAATCACTGTGTTCATGCAGCTGTGCACAGTGTACAGATGTATACATCTATATATATGTAGTGTTTGTAGCTATAGTTGTACCCTAACCCTAATAACACCGTGTCTCCTGCAGCCCCGAATACCCCCTGTAATACCCCTCCATGTTACAGAGCCCAGGTGAGGAGGATACAGGTGAGGTCCAGGTCGAAGCCGTCCTCCTGGTACCTCCTTTTGTTCCGGCTCACGATCTCCTTGATCAGCGAGGCCATCATCGGAGCTCCGGAGCCTCGGCCCGGCCTTCAGCCTGCAGGCAGCCGGAGGAGAGGCTGTTTTCTGGGTCAGAACCAGGGGGCGTCGGGGCCTCCTCCTGCGGGCCTCAGATCACTCATCCGAGGGACTACTTTCCGGGGGGAGAGCTCCAGAAGCTGCTGGGCGGCGGACGGATCGCACGGTTCTCCGGCGGAGGCTCCGGGGTGCGGCGGGAGATCTGCCCGGGATCAGAGGCTGAACTGCGGGGAGAAAAACCAGAGAGAGAGGGGAGAGAACCGGAGAGGAAACATCCGCTCAGCGCCTTCAAAATAAGAGTCTGTGTTGACGCCTTCAGAATAAAGCTCTGGTTTACACCTTCAGAGTAATATGAGAAAAATACTTTTATATTCAGAGTCGGGGTTATTGTGGGGTTACACAGAAGAGACATGGGGTATCTGTGCATACATAAACACAGTTAGAGACGGTAAAGTGTAACAAAAGAACCAAAAGAAACGATTATAACATTAAAATAGAGAAATATTCAAATTACAATCGTTACGTAAAGGGTAAAATAAAGCCTACCGCCCTGAGTGTAAGGGTCCTACTTCAGATATTAAGAATAACACACTCAAATATAAATATAAGTTATATATTTCACTGTCGATGATTTACCGTGCTTTTATTTTGAAAAACCCCATGTTTCCTGCTGTTGCGACACTGATGCTAACTGTTAGCATTGATGGGTTGCCAGGTCTCATCGAGTTTATCCTCCCATTCAAAACCTCCTTCACTCAACCCTCCAATCAGAACAGAGGATTCATTCACCACCTGATAACCAGCAGAGTGACGTCACACAATAACCCCTGCATCCCTAACGTTACACACTTTATATTATTTATATACATGTATATGTATGGAGGATGTTTATAACATGCTGCAGTCTGCTGAGAGTTTATTTCAGATTTATTTCACTTTTCATTCAAATAAATAAAATACAAATATTCAGCGTTATGGGTTTTTTGTAAATCATGTTATTTTATGTAATGGTATTATTATAACCACAGAAAACTTTGATGGAGTCAGTCCTGATTTTAAATTAAGAGTTGTGTTACAGCGCCACCTAGCGGTGAGAGGAGATACAGACCCCAGCGCCACCTAGCGGTGAGAGGAGATACAGACACCAATACAGGATGCAGTAAATATCAGTATTTATAACCAGTTAGTTTATTAACCCAGCCTTTATCTATTGGAGGGGAACCGAGTGTTTAAGACCCTCTGGATGAAGAAGAGACTTCAGTGTTTATATGAGTGTCGTTGCTCCTTCCCTCCAGCAGGGGGCACCTCTCCTCACCACACCTCCACGGTGCAGCAGTCCTCCAGTGGAGCAGCAGAAGAAGAAGAACAGCACGCAGCCTGCACCACCGAAGAAGAAGAAAAACCCACGGAGGAAGGTGAATCTTTCCGTCTCTTCTCTCCGGATTAACGGACAGTCTGTCGGTGTTCCTCCCGTCGGTTAACCGGGGCTCACGGTGCTCTCACGGTGAGTTACCGGAACATCTGTCCGTTCACCGGGAGAGAGAGAGAGAGAGAGAGGAGGTACACAGAAGGTCAAGCTAATGCTAATGCTAACAGCTAACTGACAGGTTTTTAATCGAAAGTAATGAAGAACTTCCTGCTCTGTTGCCCTGAGTCTGTTTCAAAGCACTCCTCTCCGGTTCTCCTCTCCGGTTCTCCTCTTGTTGTTAACACCTTCAAACGGACTCAATGTGACATGTAACAACTGTAGCTAGAGATTGAAGCTAGCTTCTGTCCAACTCCAGGCTCCCCGAACTGTTTGGAAATAATCATGTTCCTTTCCTGGCTGCATTAAAAAGCGATCAAACATGATTAGAATATATGGTAATATAAGGTGTGTTACTCCTTAGTACTCTCCTGTACCTCATGTACTCCCAGTGTACCTCATGTACTCTCCTGTACCTCATGTACTCCCAGTGTACCTCCTGTACTCTCCTGTACCTCATGTACTCCCAGTGTACCTCATGTACTCTCCTGTACCTCATGTACTCCCAGTGTACCTCATGTACTCTCCTGTACCTCATGTACTCCCAGTGTACCTCCTGTACTCCCAGTGTACCTCATGTACTCCCAGTGTACCTCCTGTACTCCCAGTGTACCTCATGTACTCCCAGTGTACCTCCTGTACTCCCAGTGTACCTCATGTACTCCCAGTGTACCTCCTGTACTCCCAGTGTACCTCCTGTACTCTCCTGTACCTCCTGTACTCTCAGTGTACCTCCTGTACTCCAGTGTACCTCCTGTACTCCCTGTACCTCATGTACTCCCAGGTACCTCATGTACTCCCAGTGTACCTCCTGTACTCCCAGTGTACCTCCTGTACTCTCCTGTACCTCAGTACTCCCAGTGTACCTTCCTGTACTCCCAGTGTACCTCCTGTACTTCCTGTACCTCATGTACTCCCAGTGTACCTCATGTACTCCCAGTGTACCTCATGTACTCCCAGTGTACCTCCTGTACTCTCCTGTACCTCATTACTCCCAGTGTACCTCATGTACTCCCAGTGTACCTCCTGTACTCCCAGTGTACCTCCTGTACTCCCAGTGTACCTCATGTACTCCCAGTGTACCTCCTGTACTCCCAGTGTACCTCCTGTACTCTCAGTGTACCTCCTGTACTCTCAGTGTACCTCCTGTACTCCCAGTGTACCTCATGTACTCCCAGTGTACCTCCTGTACTCTCCTGTACCTCATGTACTCCCAGTGTACCTCCTGTACTCCCAGTGTACCTCCTGTACTCTCCTGTACCTCATGTACTCCCAGTGTACCTCATGTACTCCCAGTGTACCTCATGTACTCCCAGTGTACCTCCTGTACTCTCCTGTACCTCATGTACTCCCAGTGTACCTCATGTACTCCCAGTGTACCTCCTGTACTCTCAGTGTACCTCCTGTACTCCCAGTGTACCTCATGTACTCCCAGTGTACCTCCTGTACTCTCCTGTACCTCATGTACTCCCAGTGTACCTCCTGTACTCCCAGTGTACCTCCTGTACTCCCAGTGTACCTCATGTACTCCCAGTGTACCTCCTGTACTCCCAGTGTACCTCCTGTACTCCCTGTGTACCTCCTGTACTCTCAGTGTACCTCATGTACTCCCAGTGTACCTCATGTACTCTCAGTGTACCTCATGTACTCCCAGTGTACCTCATGTACTCCCAGTGTACCTCCTGTACTCCCAGTGTACCTCCTGTACTCCCAGTGTACCTCATGTACTCTCAGTGTACCTCCTGTACTCCCAGTGTACCTCATGTACTCTCAGTGTACCTCCTGTACTCCCAGTGTACCTCCTGTACTCTCAGTGTACCTCCTGTACTCCCAGTGTACCTCCTGTACTCTCAGTGTACCTCCTGTACTCCCAGTGTACCTCCTGTACTCCCAGTGTACCTCCTGTACTCTCAGTGTACCTCCTGTACTCCCAGTGTACCTCCTGTACTCCCAGTGTACCTCCTGTACTCTCAGTGTACCTCATGTACTCTCAGTGTACCTCCTGTACTCCCAGTGTGCCTCCTGTACTCTCAGTGTACCTCCTGTACTCCCAGTGTACCTCCTGTACTCTCAGTGTACCTCCTGTACTCTCAGTGTACCTCATGTACTCTCAGTGTACCTCCTGTACTCTCAGTGTACCTCCTGTACTCTCAGTGTACCTCCTGTACTCCCAGTGTACCTCCTGTACTCTCAGTGTACCTCCTGTACTCCCTGTGTACCTCCTGTACTCTCAGTGTACCTCATGTACTCCCAGTGTACCTCATGTACTCTCAGTCTACCTCATGTACTCCCAGTGTACCTCCTGTACTCCCAGTGTACCTCATGTACTCCCAGTGTACCTCCTGTACTCCCAGTGTACCTCCTGTACTCTCAGTGTACCTCATGTACTCTCAGTGTACCTCCTGTACTCTCAGTGTACCTCATGTACTCTCAAGTGTACCTCATGTACTCTCAGTGTACCTCATGTACTCTCAGTGTACCTCCTGTACTCCCAGTGTACCTCCTGTACTCTCAGTGTACCTCCTGTACTCTCAAGTGTACCTCATGTACTCTCAGTGTACCTCATGTACTCCCAGTGTACCTCCTGTACTCTCAAGTGTACCTCATGTACTCTCAGTGTACCTCATGTACTCTCAGTGTACCTCCTGTACTCCCAGTGTACCTCATGTATTCCCAGTGTACCTCCTGTACTCCCCGTGTACCTCATGTACTCCCAGTGTACCTCCTGTACTCCCAGTGTACCTCATGTACTCCCAGTGTACCTCCTGTACTCCCAGTGTACCTCCTGTACTCCCAGTGTACCTCCTGTACTCTCAGTGTACCTCATGTACTCCCAGTGTACCTCATGTACTCCCAGTGTACCTCATGTACTCCCAGTGTACCTCATGTACTCTCAGTGTACCTCATGTACTCTCAGTGTACCTCCTGTACTCCCAGTGTACCTCATGTATTCCCAGTGTACCTCCTGTACTCCCAGTGTACCTCATGTACTCCCAGTGTACCTCCTGTACTCCCAGTGTACCTCATGTACTCCCAGTGTACCTCCTGTACTCCCAGTGTACCTCCTGTACTCTCAGTGTACCTCCTGTACTCCCAGTGTACCTCATGTACTCCCAGTGTACCTCCTGTACTCCCAGTGTACCTCCTGTACTCTCAGTGTACCTCATGTACTCTCAGTGTACCTCCTGTACTCTCAGTGTACCTCATGTACTCTCAAGTGTACCTCATGTACTCTCAGTGTACCTCATGTACTCTCAGTGTACCTCCTGTACTCCCAGTGTACCTCCTGTACTCTCAGTGTACCTCCTGTACTCTCAAGTGTACCTCATGTACTCTCAGTGTACCTCATGTACTCCCAGTGTACCTCCTGTACTCTCAAGTGTACCTCATGTACTCTCAGTGTACCTCATGTACTCTCAGTGTACCTCCTGTACTCCCAGTGTACCTCATGTATTCCCAGTGTACCTCCTGTACTCCCAGTGTACCTCATGTACTCCAGTGTACCTCCTGTACTCCCAGTGTACCTCATGTACTCCCAGTGTACCTCCTGTACTCCCAGTGTACCTCCTGTACTCCCAGTGTACCTCCTGTACTCTCAGTGTACCTCATGTACTCCCAGTGTACCTCATGTACTCTCAGTGTACCTCATGTACTCCCAGTGTACCTCATGTACTCTCAGTGTACCTCATGTACTCTCAGTGTACCTCCTGTACTCCCAGTGTACCTCATGTATTCCCAGTGTACCTCCTGTACTCCCAGTGTACCTCATGTACTCCCAGTGTACCTCCTGTACTCCCAGTGTACCTCATGTACTCCCAGTGTACCTCCTGTACTCCCAGTGTACCTCCTGTACTCTCAGTGTACCTCCTGTACTCCCAGTGTACCTCCTGTACTCCCAGTGTACCTCCTGTACTCCCAGTGTACCTCCTGTACTCCCAGTCAGTGGTTGCGTTAGACTTTTTCGTTGTCTGTCATTTTGACGGACAGGATCGTAACATTTCCGTCATAATCCATTATTACCCGTCATTTTATTTTTCATGTTTTAATGATGAGACATATTTAATATTTATGTTTGGGTACTAAGCAGCAAATGTTCAATCATTCCTTTTTTTTATGATTCATTCAGAACCTTTAAGGGCATGGAGAAAAACAAAGATGAACAGAGACACCGACCGTGCGGTCACTTTTCATGTCAAAACGAATATGAATGATTTATTTTTCCTTGCCACTTGCTTGTCCCTCTGCTGCTGGCTGAACGTTGTCAGTTTTAGTCTTACTGGCTTGTCCTTCATCCTCCACTGCATCAATCCCTCTTCTTTCACCTCGTTTATCCACACCATCACAATTACTGGGCTTATTAAAAAAGCTTCGGACACTCAGCTGCCGTGACATTTGCGATTGCTAAAGCCGGTTAAACAACGAGGTAATCAACGAGGTCAAATACAAGACTAG